CAAGCTTTGTTTCCGACCCAAGAAACCTTGCTCTTGAGTGTTCCAGAAAAGATTCCTCTTCATCGTATCTGCTTGCAAAACAACATTCACGCCATTGCTGACTGCGACCGTAAACGTCGTGTTCTTACTCAGATTGATCAGAAGAATCGTTATACCCGCCTAAGATGATAGATTCCACTGTTACAAACCGAAACTAGAGGATGATTTAAAGACAGAAAGATAGAGAGATATACACCCACTCTTCTTTTGGAGCAATGAACGTAAGCTCGTAGATACTCCGAGGCAGTTGTCTGAACGCCGAGAACGCCTTTACCCATCAAACGATGCCAAAGAAGCGCGCTGGTCAGATTGTTCGAGATCAAGAAGTTTATGTTATGACTCGCCTATAGTTATCATGATGGTTTAGGATTTACAGTTTATAGTTTATGAACTTGCCTGTAGTAATCTGGATTGGGAACAAACGTTTCCTTTTCGAGCAGACCGTAGAAACCTCCAACCAAAGCTTGTCTGCAGTATACTTTGGTGTTATGCTTCGACGAAATACCGAGCTGGTCTAAGTACCTTAGGAAAAGAGTTCCATGTTTTTCGATTATAGAACCGAGCAAAGATAAAATGTGGAATTTGATTCTGTCTTACCAGAAACTGTTAATGAATGTCTCGGAAACCTGACGGCCACCGCTGTTAAAGGCTCCACCAGCTTCTCCAACCCAAGCAGCAGCCCAAGGTCCATGTTCTTGAATTGTTCGGTTTACATTGGCAAATGTTCCTGAAATTCCGCTCAAGTAATTTGGATCTAGTATCCTATTCACTAGCATAGGATCATTCCCTGCAACACTCAATTCATAATTGTTTAGGAATGATACAAAGAGAGTCTCTGATTGATTTATTTTGCATATGCAGCACCTGGACCAAGATTGTATATATGATGAGTCAGGACATCAAGAACACCGGGTCCAGAGAGCCGAAGAAGCTCCGAGTACCATTTTTCTTCAAAAAATCCACCTGGAGCTACAACCAAAGGCCTGGTCCGAGAATTCTTGTAAACGTTATTGATTACATCTTTCAGTAGAATCAAGTCTTTCCCATCAAGCTCTACACTCACGCTTGCCCAAATCCCGCTTCCACTAAGCTCGTTACCTAGTCAAGAACAAGAAAGAAACAAATCTTGTGTTATAGTTCTATATCGGAAGTATAA